TCTGGGGTGGTGGCTGGCTGGGGAACACACTGGCAAAATTTCAGCTTCAGAGCTTGCGCGGTTAGCGAGTTGAAATACCTGGACAGACGAACACACACACACACACACAAACATACACACACACACAATTATATTTACAAATCCTTCTTGAACTATAACACTATAATCATATGCTAAACGCCAAGCATCTTTGAGAGCGTGAATTAATTCGGCCCAACAGACATCCACACCCTACTCTGAATAATTGACCTTCATGTCTACATAAAGGAGATCCTCGATAGAAAACCGTGGATCGCACCAAACATCAGAAAATAAGGGCTCTCTCCTGTCATCTCATTTACTGAGGTGTTAAAGCAAAGACTCATAAAAGGCAAGAATTCTTCAAAGTCACTCTTTTGTTCTGAAACATATTTTGCGATACCGCAACGCAGCTAGCTACAACTTCCCCTGGTACCGAAATGCAGCCACAACTCACACATGGCTGCTGCTATGCACTGCGCAGTGTGATACAGTCGACCTCACCACCACACGGCTTCTTTATTAGTCTGCCGTTTGTACCTTTACTCTCTTCTCGCGCTCTTCCGTCCCTCAGAAGCACACACCGCCTCCCCCCACAACAATCCTGGACATTCTATCGATCTGCTGTGACTGATCGCCGTCGCACCGAACTGCTGTTGCTACTGCAGCAGTAAGCACAACAAGAGTATGCATAGGACTATGGTGCCAACAGCGCAAACAGTGGCAGTGCAACAGACAGTAGCAGTCCTCACGTATGTGAACTTTCTGCCACGTAGAGCGAGAACAGATCTGTAGCACGAGCACAACTTGCGTCGCTCTAAACACCTGGAAGTTCCACTTTCTTGCGCTTCTCGCAAGCAAAGTAGTTCTGCTGCACACACTGCCACTGCTGGCATTTCGTTGACAAAGGCACACCTGTGCTTCACAATCCGCAGCTGAAGTTCCCGAAACAACTCTCCTCTACAGGAATGAGGGTCCCTGCTAATACGAATGTCTTACGTCGTACGAAAAGTAACCAGCGCAAACCGATAAAGAGCGGGAAAAAGAGGCACACTTGTAACTAACCAGTTCATTCTGCATCGAAAGACAAGCACACGAACAAACACACACACACATATTTAAGCAGGTACACACATCCATAAACACAAACACACAACGCTCGGAAGAGGAGGGAGCAAATGCTAAATGTGGAAGGAGGAAGCGCAATGTCCTCCACAGCACCAGCAGCAGCAACAGCACCACCACCAATCCTAGTGGTTGTAGCATTACTGAGAGGGGATGCAGCCATGGGTAAGAGCAGT